GCAACTTCTTTCTATGGAGCGGAAGGTAACAGTGTCATCTTCAGTGGCTCAGGACGTTCTGCACTATTTGTTGTAGCTGCTTGGCATGGTAGGCATTGCTTCACTTTGTCCTCAACCATTCTGTCAATTCCTGGAAACCAAACCTTCTCTCTGATGAGGCTCTCGATAATGGTGGGCTGCAGGGATGTGGGAATCGTTAAGCGGTTTCCTCTCAGGATTACACCATTGCAGATTGTAAGCTCGCTTCAAACTGGTTTGTATGGACGCATGTCTACATCATCCCAATCGTGTGACTTTCCAGATTGGATGGTTGTCATCAGTTTCTGCATGATGCCCTCTTTTGCTTTTTCTGCACGGACGTCCTCTAGAGTTAGAGCTTTTGGAACTGCATTGCTACAGATGTAGTTTATGTAGTCTTCTGCTACTGACTTGTTAGGAGATTTGGATTCCGGGGTGTCTACTGATGAAGTCGGCTGGGTTTTCATCATCTTTTCCCGGCTTGTACACAATGTCACAGTCCTAGAACATTGTACGCATTCGCTGGTGATCAATTCTTGCAGAGGTTGGCATGCTGCTCTTGAAGATTCCAAGGAGAGGCTTGTGGTCTGTGATTATGCGGAAATGGGCACCAAAGACGTAGAGATGAAAACGCTCGACGGCCCAGACCACTCCTAGCATCTCACGCTCTGTTTGGGAATATCTGGATTCTACATCTGACAGTGTACGACTGGCATACGAGATGATCTTCCCGTCTTGTGAGAGCATTGCGCCTAGTCCAACTGGACTTGCATCCACGATGATGTCTGTCGGTTTGCGAGGGTCAAAGTACACCATGACATTCTTGTTTGTCAGGATACTTTTCAGTTCGTTGAATGATGAGATTTCCTCTTCCCACTTCCACTTGGAATCTTGATGGGTAAGGGTGCGAAGGGGGTTAGTGATCGTTGCGTAGTTGGGAATGAATCGTGAGACATATGATGCTAGCCCGAGGAAAGACTCGACTTCTTTGGCATTCTTGGGGGGTGTTGCATTGACGAGGGCCTCAATTTTCTTTGGGTCTGCATTATCTGATCATGTGTCATGGCAGTGGCGGTTGGTGGTTGCTGTATGTGGCTGATCTGGTTAGAGGTTGCACGTTACATGGTCTGCATTGAGGGAGATCAGCTCGAGTTGTTTCGCAGAACTTTGCGAATGATAGCAGGTTGCAACTGTGTGTGTTGACAATATGGAACTCGGTAGAGCAAGAGTTGGGACCGACTCTGATTTCAGCTTCGATAACACCTAGCACTGGTAGGGGTGTTTTTGTACCGTAGGCAAATACTCTGGAAGTAGCTTTTTGTGTTTGAGTGTCTGCCCACTACTTCGAAGGAGATCAAGGGATTTGGAGTCTAACACATTGACGGATGCTCCTGAATCTATCATGGCAGTCAGGGTAGTGTTGCCGATGGTCATTTCGCAGGTAGGTAGACTGGCAACATGAATGACATAAGCGCTGCCACGTTGGTTGGCGAAGATGTAGACATTGTCAGAGTCATCTTGTTCTATGGCATTGACTTTCGCTGATGCTGACCAGCATACAGAATCAAAGTGTCAAATTTTTCCACAGTTTCGGCACTTTTTTCCTTTGGCTGGACAGGTTCCTGTATGGGGGTAGATTCCTCCACAAAAGTAACAGGTATGGCTGGGGCGTGGTGGTAAGTTTTGGCGTGGTGGTTGGCGGTGCCTGGACTTGGATCGGCCTCGGCTTTGTGATGCGTTTCGCTGTCGGGGAGGGCGGTGCTTGAAGGACCTGCTTGTGTATGCCTTGTCACGTCTGCTTCTGCCATCATCAGACATTGCGATGGCATTTGTCATTTCAGCTCTCCCTGCTTCTACAGCGTCAGCTTCTCATTCGCTTGTCTCAAGGGCACGACCACTGGAAAGTAAGTTTTCCAGCATCATAGGTTCACGCAGTGCACGTCTTCGGAGGCGTTGTGAGTGACACAACTGAGAATGATTTGTGCACATATTTCTTTGTCGACATCCTGGAATTCACACGTCTGTGCAAGTTGACGCTGTCGAGTATGGTACGTATCTAGAGTTTCAGTTTTGCCCTGTTTGGCCTGCCTGAACTGATATACCTCGTAGGCTATGTTGTGTCGAGGATTGAAGTATTTTGTCAGGTGTTCAGTTGCTGACTTGTAATCATCTTCGACATCCTTGAGTGTTTCAAACACTTCATTAACATCTGTGCCCGCATAGTGTAACAGCAGTGCACGTTTTCGATTGTCATCTTTTATGTCCATGGCCACCATTAGCCGTTAAAATCTCTGAAGCCATTTCTTCCAGCGAGGACCAGCATTAGCATCTTGATGAATGTCAAATCTTGGAAAAACAGGTAGCAGTGCCATGCTTTACGATAGCGATATTCAATGAGCACTGTAAAACTGTCGAGACAATGTTCTGTACAGCATTGGTGTAGCAGAGTTCACGTTAACCATGCAGTTACAGTATGGATTTACAGTTCTGCTTTCCGATTATTTCACCAAAAGAAATGTTTTTTTCAACGAGTGTAAGACTCACCACGTTGATGCCAGTTGGTGCAATGGATTGCTGGATCAGTTTTGTGTTAGGTCCTCGTCGCCAAAATGTGATGTTTGGGAGTGGGAATATGGACAAAGGTTTGAGAGTAACAATTTTATTCAGCATCGCATGTGATACAGTTGCAAGAACTAAGACATACAACAACAGAGGGCGCTGTTCAACTACACTTCACCGTCTACCCTTGCATTGGTCCATCTCAATCGACAGAACACTATCCAAATGGGTAGACAGCCATTTCAAGGCATGTCTGCATTTTTGCCAAAAATGTGCGGCAAAGACAGCAACTTTTAGTCCACATTGGAGCAGCGGTGACCATCATTTCTTCAGCACTTTTCAGCCAGTTCACAGATCCATCATCTGAAGCGCCTTCCTGGCACCGGCACCAGACAATATAACTTGCTTCTCAGAGCGGCACAGAAACTTGACCAGAATATGGCAAGGCTTTGCTGAACTGCGCAGTACGTGCGCTACCCAATTCAGTGGGCATTCTCAATCTTCACATCAGGTAGTTAAAAATAGTCCCAGAGAATTTGCCCAATCTTCTCTAGGGTATCTGCTGAGTGCTGGTGATTCACTCAAATTCTCCTTCTCAGGAATGCCACGGAATCTCAGGTTAAAATTTTTGGAATATCTTTCTTGCTGTAGAATGTTATTTTCTAGATCATCCAGTCGTTTGGATGTTTGGTCAAGTAGAGGATCCATTTTGTTTACAGTACCTGTTGTTCTGCTACTTCCTGCTGAAGCTGATCGACCATCATTGGTAAAAGTCAAAGCCGTTTCCATCTCCGTCTGCTTTTCACTGTATTCTTTGATACCTTCAAAGAATGGGAAAAGACCTGGCAAATGGAGTTCAACGCAGAGAAGTGCTTCGTCATGAAAGTTACTCACTCCAAGAACATACCCTCCAGGAAACCAACAGTCATACATACTTGGGCGTTGACATCACAAGCAACCTCAGATGGAATCAACACATCAACAAGATCACTTCCACTGCAAACCGCAGCCTAGGTTTTCTACGTCGCAACATCTCCATCTGTTCAAAAAGAACCAAGACCAAGGCTTATACCACATTTGTTAGACCTCACTTAGAGTACAGCTCGGCTGCTTGGGATCCATATACACAAGATCAGATAACGCAGATTGAAGCTGTCCAACGTAGAGGAGCAAGATTTGTGTTCAGAGACTACGACTACAAGAGCAGCCCATCTGCTATGATCTCAGCACTGAAATGGGATACTCTCTCATTGAGAAGAAAGGAGCACCGCCTCAACGTCTTCAACAATGGATTACACGGTCACCTGGCCATCCCGGCAAGAACCATCTTACGCCCGACCACACGCTAATCTAGATTCTCAAACGCTAACACCTTCCTCAGACTACAAGCAAGAAAGGACTGTTATAAATACTCCTTTTTTTCCAAGGACTGTATTAAACCGAGTGGAATCAATTACCTGTGAATATTACATCGATCACTGACAAACTACCCTTCAAGCAACAACTGTAAAAGCACTTAAGAAACTAGAAACATGCATGCGCACTCACAACCCTGCTCGGTTTACTCCAACTGCAATGCAACAAGGAGTGTTGAGCAGTATTGATGCAGATGCAGATGCACTATATGAACAATCTGTCAGTAGCTTTTTGTTGATTGAGAATAACCCGATCCAATTTGATATTGAGATCGGATTTCAAGTCATTCAACATGGCAGCCATCATCACACAGAGGACCAGTATCGCTGGTGCCTTGGCTTGTTTGTATCTAGCGCACCCGCGGGCAAGGCCATGGCGGGAACCATGCTGTATCCGTGACAGATTTTTTTATCCTTTCTCGTCGGCATATAATAATGAAATAAAAATATCAGTGGATTCAGCAGTCAGTTGGAAACTCACTAAAGTGCAGATCAAACATTTGAACAAGATAGAAATTTCGATGATAAACCGACTCGGATGACGGAGCAAATTTAAAACGTGTGTCACATCTAAAAGGGCACCCTCAATCAACTTAATAATAAAAATAATTATATAAGTATAATAATAACAATGTGGTGCTTATATAGCGCTTTTTACCAAAGGTCTCAAAGCGCTTCACAATTATTACCCCTGTTCATCAGGCCATGAGACCAGTTTTTGCAGCAGCTCGATATCATCACTCGGGGCATATTCTGGTCTCTACCTTCACAGGTACCCATTTATACTCCTGGGTGGAGAGAGGCAATTGTAGTAAAGTGTCTTGCCCAAGAACACAAGCACCGTATGCATGTTCCCATCAGGGTTCGAACCCGCACGTACCACGACACGAGTCGAACACCGTAACCATTGGACCACAGCGCTCCACCTTAAAGTGGTTCGTCTTGTAATATGCATTCATAGGCCTTCTTGATTGAGATTGTTAATTATATAATTACAGTGTGAACTACCTTGACAATGTCCAGTTTCATCTTTTCGATAACCATCAGGACAGGAAGATGCCGCCAAACACGATGACATTATTAGTGATGTAATCATTACAGCTGCATAAAGAAAAGAGGGAAAATCTGAATTAATATTGTTATGATTAGGATCAAATAAAGAAGTTTAATCTAATTTGTAAATTTTGTTTCAATGTAAGAAATTTCAATATTGAAGTATAGAAGTAAAATTTTAGGCTGTAGGTCTACAGCATACATACAATTTCAATTTCCCCTATTTTGGACACATCACACTATACAATATAGGCCTATTGCTTTAGTTTTACAAATAAGGCCAAGTTAAAAAAAACTTTAAAAAATAAACCACTTTCTCGTCCCAGTCCACTTCTTTTTTCCCACCCGCCTCGCCTCCTTTTTTTCCTTTTAATTCATGATTCGCAATATATTTTGCAAACATTACATTTTGTCAATATAGGCCTATATGTGATTAGCCTTGACCAAGGCGTTGCGGGCTTATCGATTCGCCGATAAAAAAAAAATCGCCGATAACAAAATCCCTAATCAACTTGGCAAGGCATAATTGCGTGCACATATCGATGCCCGTACTCTGCTAGTGAGAAAGTAACTTGTACCATACAGCAAGGCTATGCTTGTACATGTACATGTACGTACGCACGTACATCACACACGTACTCGTACAACAGCCATGCACACACAGTACATGTACATGTACAAGTACATGTACATGTACATGCATGAGCTAGTCCGCGTAACAGGCCACGCGGCGCGTATATCCCCCACACGTACGTACGTACACCCACACGCAGAACATAGTAGGCCTACATTTACTGCCTTATTACACCATGCGTACAGTCCGTACTCACGTGTGTGTGTTTGCTGGTTGTGTTAGTACCGAACCGTTCGTACGGACAAGGGTCGGTGGTACACGCACGGACAAGGGTCGGTGGTACACGCACGTAACCGCGTTGATTGTGGGTGCTAGGGCCCGATTATCTCCCTTCGACAAAAAGCCGAGAGACCGCATTGAACAAGGCTAATATGTGATGGGATCAAGCTACATGAGTCGTTTGTCGGGAATTTCCATTTGGAGGTACAGGCCAAAATAGGGCCACTTCATCACATCACTTCATCACATCTCGTGGTGTTCTGACTTCTATAATTTTTGAACTAACAATGGTATAAGCATGCGGTTTTCACAGTAGTAATGCCGAGATAGTGCTCTTTTAAAATCTGTAATAATTTTTTTTTGACCCGGGTCGACAGACGACTCATTTAGCTTGATCGCATCACATTTACTTAGTTGCCTTTTTATTTGTTCAAACAAAATTGTAGCTATAAAGAAAGGGTTAACGGGCTACGGCTTCTTTTGGACATAATTTTGAATCAGCAAGAGTTTAGAAAATGGAAGAATCCATCCACCATCTTGGAAAATTTACCATCTTGGAAAATTTGCCATCTTGAGGGGGCAAAAAACACCTCCCTTATTTTTTCAAAATGCTCAGACCGTATATTTTTGTTTAACTCTGCCGAATGCTGGGTTGGCATTGCCATCGCTTTGTCCTCTCACTTCCAGTGTCAACCCATGGTAGGCGTGGCAGGCATGACCCCCCCCCCCCCCCATTCATCCACTCCCACCCCAATTTATTCAGTTAGCAAAATCGTTGTCCAGCTGTCTCTCTAGCTAGCTCCGTATTTTTATGGCGGCATATAACATTTAGACACAAGAGAACGAATAGCGCGCGCCACCTATCCGCTCCGTTCACAAGTACCCCCTCACCGGCAAAGGAAGTACAGTTGGGGGTGCGCGGCAACTGCGTGTGTACATAGAACAAATCCCCAGGCTGGTGTACGCGCGTCAACCAGCGAAATGTACTGCCCATGGGACGTCGTTGCTAGGTAAAAGGGCGCCCTCTTTTGGTAGCGCACGGAGCTCATAGGCCAAGTTCGGGTAAGGACCATTAGTCGACTAGTGATTGATTTGTGACGTACCTTACGCCTGCGCACTGATAGCAACGTGCGAACGTCTCTAGTCAAACGCTGGTCAATATCCGGTTCGTTAGTGTGACGTCACCTCCAGCACTTTCAGCACCGTTTGGAACCGGAAGTTAACGCAGTTCGAGCGTTTGCAGCCAATGGGCGCTAGTAATCAGTGGTGCGTGCGCGTGTATGACGTTTTTACTAACGAGCCGGATATCATCGCAAAACTTCTGGATCCTGGCTCTCTGCTAGCGTTATGAATGCGCGCGGCTATTGGTTACCAGCGAAGCAACCAACCCCAGTAGGCTGGTTCCAAATAGTCGACTAGCGTAGTCAACCACTGTCAACTAGACAGGGTTCGGACAAACGTGGCCTTGGCATATATTGTCCCAACCTCGACCCCAGGGTGTCGAGCAGTACGTGCCTATCACTACCTGCTTTCTCACCCTGGTATTGGATCATTTGCATGTGCAAGATTTTTGAACACGTATGCAAATGAGGAATAGTCTGGTGCCTGCTTGTGCGTTACATTTGCGTTTGTTTTTGTATGCGGTGTCTGGGGTAAAAAAGCAGAGTCAATTCGTCGCAGCGCGAGCATGGCGTGAGTTACGAAAAACACGATTTATTTAATTAAATTGTTACGATCTTACCGAGACAACATGTAGACAGTATCAGTATCACATTTCATATTAATATGAACAAATTGGGAAGGAAATGAGTATTTTCTAGAAGGCGTGGACAAATAAACGCGAAAACACGTACTGCACGTTGTGAATAACAACACCAAGTACACGACAAAAATCCACTACTAGCCAATTGCCGTATCGAATCAGGATGCAGGAAGAAAGTTTCCTATCCAGGGTTTACCATTTAGGTTGGAAATAAAGTAAGCACTGGGGACGAGGTTGATATTGTCCCGATAATCATGTCAATAGTGCCCGTCGACTTGGAACAGTGCCCCCAGTAGTATTATGGTGTCCATAGTGATGCATTATTATACAAATATTGAATGCTTCGAGTGGTGTAGTAAAACTAGCCTCCCGAGGTGACCCATGGACATTCTATTTTCCCGAGGAGAAGCCGAGGGAAAATAGAATGGTCCATGGATCACCGAGGGAGGCTAGTTTTACTTCACCACGAGATAAAGCATTCAATATTTGTTTTATAACACTTCACCAACGGATTCTGCCTGATTTTAATATTTTACATTATTTAAATCTGAACATGCAGTTGAAATAAACTTCAATTTCAGTACAAAATTGGTGGAAAATGTATTTCTCTCTTAAAAACTAACCCTTCACGAAATGTTTGAACCCAAGTCTGCGGCGCACGCTCTTTGGAATCCGGTTCGTTAGTAAAAACGTCATACACGCGCGCACACCACTGATTACTAGCCCATTGGCTGCAAACGCTCGAGCTGCGTTAACTTCCGGTTCCAATCGTGCAGAAAGTGCTGGAGGTGACGTCACACTAACGAACCGGATAATACGCGCTACGCACAACGCGCAACGCGCACACCGGCATGCATTTGCACACAAATACCGCGCCGTGGAAATAGTACTTTGGTTGCTAATGGTATAGTACTTTGGTTGCTATGCGCATAGTACTTTTGGCCGTGCACAGAGAGATAGCAAAATTAGAAAGTAACATGTGACTCGCTCTCGGCCAATCAAGACACAGAATCTGTGGGTGAGGTGTTATAACACCTCACCCACAGATTCTGTGTCTTGATTGGCCGAGAGCGAGTCACATGTTACTTTCTAATTTTGCTATCTTTCTGTGCACGGCCAAAAGTACTATGCGCATAGCAACCAAAGTACTATACCATTAGCAACCAAAGTATTATTTCCACGGCGCGGTATTTGTGTGCAAATGCATGCTGGTGCGCGCGTTGCGCGTTGTGCGTAGCGCGAATTATTCCAAAGAGAGCGCGCCGCAGACTTGGGTTCAAACATTTCGTGAAGGGTTAGTTTTTAAGAGAGAGAAATACATTTTCCACCAATTTTGTATTGAAATTGAAGTTTATTTCAACTGTGTTCAGATTTAAATAATGTAAAATATTAAAATCAAGCAGAATCTGTGGGTGAAGTGTTATAAAACAAATATTGAATGCTTTATCTCGTGGTGAAGTAAAACTAGCCTCCCTCGGTGATCCATGGACCATTCTATTTTCCCTTGGCTTCGCCTCGGGAAAATAGAATGGTCCATGGATCACCTCGGGAGGCTAGTTTTACTACACCACTCGAAGCATTCAATATTTGTATACTATGATACATGTAGTGTCCCTCCTCGGTTTTCAGCGCGGCTAGCTAGCTACCTTGAATGGAGCGTCTGGCACAACCCCATTCAATTTGGTCTGCGACGGCCCTGGCTAAAACCTTACGGTCGGATAAATTAATGAATCCAATCTTTTTGACTTTCTTTGAATGATAAAGTATTTTAATATATGAACGACTTGATGCCCCGTCCCTTAAAAAAATAGATTTTGTTTTCTCCTAACGAATTTTCAATTTGTATGTTATGTTTTAACGGGGGAAAACTAGGCCTGCTTTTTTCCCGCTTTGGGGCGTCTGCAACTCTCTGAAAAGGGCTTTCATTTCGCTCCATGTGTCATTCAAAGTGATAAACTTATATACTTCTATTAAGTTCTATACAGGGTGTTTTCAAAAAAAAGGAAACCGAGCTTATTTTGTTGATTTCTCGGGTATGACTAATTATTTAGGAAAATGGTAACCACCAGCTGTTACATAACAATGTCTTCTTTTTCTTGACACCACGAACTCCATTTTACCGTCACAGATGACTGAGCACCAAGTGATGTAACATGCCAGAAATGGCTTTGTACCGTAAGACCAATTAACAGTTTTCAGCATGTTGAAAATAACAAAATCCAGGAAGTACATTATCAAAGTCATTTATTCAATTGCTAAAACATAGCAAGGTTTATCATATCACTGTCCCCGTTATCCAACTGTCCTTCAACATGCCCCCCATCCCTTTCAACGCAAATCTCTGCCCTGGTTCTCATTGCTGTGAACGCATTCCTGATAGCGACTCTCTCTGATATCTGTCAATTGGTCTTATTATTCTTAAGTTGAAGTTCTGCAAACGCTGAGGCATA